CCATGCTGGGAAAAATAAGGGGGAATTAAGGGGTCATTTGTGGTTGTAGTTGTAGTTCTACTTCTTGTTCTTTGACTCCTTTTTCCTGATGGCATTTAAGGACGACAACCTTCTTTGAAGTCCTCAGAGATAACTCTGCTTTAGAGAGGCAGAAATCCACCTTGGTTGAAGTGACTTTTCTAAGAGCACCTGGTTGCTAAGAAAGGAAATCAGATCCATGTCAGATGGAGTGTTGAGGGCTAGGATGTAGAAATTTACACAAAGCTGAAGAGATATGCCTTTACTCTTAGGAAATCATACCCGGTGGGTATGGTCATACTGACAGACCAAAGAGATGTGGCCTGGAGCCACCTGTTATTGAGAGTTTGTTTCAGGAAGATGAGATGCAGTCCTGTAAGAAAAGACGTGAGCACAATACCCAGCAGAAGAAAATGGTGCTCCTTCCAGTGTCCTTAAAGCCCGGGGTCATTAGAGGGGCCAGTGGGAGACATGGTGAGGCTGGAGATCAGGTTGATGAGGAATTTATTGGCAATGGGGAGCCATGGAAGGTTTGTGAATGAGGATGAGCTATGAAAAAAGATGTCTGTGGAAGTGTACTCTGCTAGAGCGTGTGTTGGGTTGGAGCAGGGAGAGATACAGAAAACCTTAGTGCTCAGTGAGAAATGAATTTGTAACCTTCTTGCACTCCAGTGAAAAGCAGAAACAATGAGGGACTTTGAAATTAAGCAGATCTAACTGGAGTCTCCCACTTTGCGACTTACTGGGCAAGTTACTCAATATTTTTGAGCTGTTAAGTAAAGGGTCAGGAGCTCTGGTGGCGTGGTGCCTAAGGCATTTGACTGCTAACCAGAAGGCTGCCAGTTCAAACCCACCAGCCACTCCTCAGAAGGAAGGTTGGGCAATCTACTTCCATAGTGATACCACCTCAGAAACCCAAGGAGGAGTCGCTATGAGTCGGATCCGACTCCACAGCAGTGAGTTTGGTTTGGAAGTAACGGATCTGTTGTCGAGAGTGTGCTCAGCAGTAAATTAGGTGTGTACTCCATATATGCTCATATTCTTCTTTGGTGTCTTTCTGCAAATAGTTGTGCTAATGCTTTCAATGGGCGAGAGAGGAATAGATGACAATTAGAAATGAATAAAAAGAGGAGATAAGTTAATTCGATTTCCACTATGAGGAAAAAGATAAGGGAAAAAAGGAGCCTGGCTGATTTTAGAGCTGCTAGACCACTCTTTGTTTTGATTGGTGTTTCATCATTTTGGGGCATGGATCTTATACCACAGACCAATGCCAACTTTTTTTTTTTTTTTTTTTTACCGTTAAAGTGACAGGAAGAGAATGTCTGTAATTGTTCGAACTCCTTCAGGACAACTTCGACTCTACTGCAAAGGAGCTGTAAGTATTAGATGAGTGTCTTGCATTGTGGCAGCTTTTATTAATTTTTTAGAATTGTATATAACATGCATACATACATGCATATACATATCTGTCACTGCATTATACATGTAAAAATGTTGAAGTGGCAAGTATTTGCTATATGTAACCAAAAAAACCAAACTCACTGCTATTGAGTCGTTTCCGACTCATAGCAACCCCTCCTTGGGTTTCTGAAGCAGTATCTCTACAGAAGTAGACTTCCCAATCTTTCTTCTGAGGAGTGCCTGGTGAGTTTAAACTACCAGCCTTTTGGTTAGCTGTCAAATGCCATTTCAACATTTTGTACAAGTGTAATGTAGTGATGTTAATTATGTTCATCATATGTGCAACCATCACTACTAGGTTTCTTAAAATTAAAAATTTGTTAATGAGTGCAAAAATACATGTAACACTACATTTGCAAAATTTGCATTTTTTCACATGTACCATTTAGTGAGGAGCCCTGGTGGCACAGTGGTTAAGCGCTGGGCTGCTGACCGAAAGGTCGGTGGTTGGAAACCACCAGCCATTCCTTGTGAGAAAGATGAGGCAGTGTGCTTCTGTAGAGCCTTGGTTGACCCTGTGGGGCAGTTCTGCTCTGTCTCAGGGGCACTGTGAGTTGGAACAGACTTGGTTTTGGGTTCACCACTGAGTGACACTGATCAGTGGTGGCTGCTTCTTCTAAATTTTATTGTGATTTGGGTGAAAGTTTACAGAGCAAATTCATCTTCCTTACAGCAGTTCACATACACTTTGTCTCATGACATTGACTGCAATCTCCCACAATGCAACAGTTC